GGAGCGGACTGGCGTCGTCACGCGTCCGTTGTTGCAACAACTCTTTGTCAGGGGGTGACAGTGGTTCATAAGAGATTGTCTGCGCGTTCTCTTGTGGTCTGGTTGGCCGCATGGGGATAACGTCACGCGACCAGTTGACCCTGGGGCTTTGTGCCTAGCGTAGGCTCTTATGCGTGCGTGCATGCATGCGGTCTAAGGTCATCTCGCGTGGCCTGTCCAGTGAACGCTATTGAACAAAGGAATAATTGTGGCGTCAAGCTCGACGCCTTAGGAGAGCCGACAAGGTTGCTAGCCTTTGGTCCGGCTAACATCTTAACACAGGAGACCGAGTTTCTCAATCCAGTCAAGACCAATTAAGTCAAGCTTCGGACGGTTGTTTAGGTAGCATGTTCCTCTGAATTGAGTGCCATTAAAGGAAACGTCACATTTGAGCGCACCTGTGAGCTGGAGGAATCCGCCAGAAACGTTCATTGACTTTTTGTTCGATGTAATCACCGGGGGCTGTCCAATAACGTGCCAAGTGCGTTTGGGGATGAGGTTGATGTCTGATGCTGTGTCGAGCTGGAGGCGCACAGGATTTTCATTGATGCTATCCATAAGATACTTCCTCCGTGCCTCGAATTCAGTCTTGAAGGTGGTTAGAATGGAATAGAACCTTAGACAAGGATAAAATGAAGGGCGTTTGGAACTTCTCGTCTTCCTATTGCCTGCTCTTGATTTGGGGGGTTGGCCTGCCAGACATTGGTCTTCCTCATGCCCTCGCTTATGAAATTTCTGACAAACGTCCCTCTTGAATGGACAGAAGCGAACGAAATGCTATTCACCACACTGCCAGCACGCTGACGGTGGCTTTCTGGATGTGGGGTCTTCGGGCTGCTGTGGCGACATCGACTTCGTGCGAGTGACAGCATGAACGTTGGTGGCGGCAAATGAGGAACTGGGTTACTCCACGACCGCAGAATCATGCTTAAGATTCCTGAGCTGCTGACACTCGGCCGTCACTGTATGCAGAGTTTAATTCGGGTCCTTTTCAATTGCTGAGAGCAGACGGGTCCGGATTTCAGCATCACGAGGTGATTGCAGGGCGCCCACAAAGATGAGGCACTTGAATTGGTCATCGGTCAACTCTCGGAGCTTGAAC